CGACACAGTTGGTCACAGCGGAACCCGTGTGTTGCCGTGTGCACGCTGTCAGCCACCAGCAGGGCAGCTCCCAGGCTGGGCCTCTGCCGCACTCGGGGCCTGGCAGGCAGAGAGCACTCAGTGCGCAGGTGCAGGTGGGCGGGTGGCAGGAGGGGCAGCACCCAGGCCAGCCCCTCCGCTGGGTCCCTGCACTTGACTGGTCCCCGCTGCGGAGTGGATGCCGCGGCCAGGAGCCATGGAGGGATGGGGCGGGGCGGGGCTCCGACCAGCCGGGTCCCTGCCTAGAAAGTGACCTCAACTGGTCCTGCACGGCCTGGCCCAGGAGCGCGTTTTGCACCCAGCCGTTTAGCACGGCTTTCACAGACATGTCGCAGGCACCAGAAAATGGGAGCAATGAAGCAACAGCCAGATGACTTGGGAAAGAAAGACGGTCTGAGGGGCTGGGGGCTCAGTGCTGCCTCGGCTGCCCGCCCGGGGAGGAGGCCTGGGTTGCTCCCGCTCACAGCCAAGAGGTGCCGGGGGCCAGGAGCCCAGGGCCTCGCCTCGGACACTCGGCTTTCCTAGGACAATCGCTGCCCTAAGGGCTCGTCCGCCTTGCTGGGAGAGCTCGTGGGAAGGGTCCTTCCCACAGCCCGGTGACGGCAGGGTCTCATGGCCGAGGCTGCTGGGGTCCTCGTCCCTGCTCATGGCCTGCCCTGTTCCTCTCCTCTCAGAAGCCCTGGACTCCTGATGTCCCCTCACCTGCTTCCTGCCCTCCCTGCTGGGCAGAGCCTCGGCCGATGCCACCGTCAGCAGATCGGGAACATGATCCACTCGCCTGACACTCAGGGATGGTGACCTGCAGACTCATGGGCCACACAAAGGTCTCGCGGAACGTGTTTCTGTTTGGGTTCTGGGGATTGAGTGCCAGGGCCTTTGCACTGAGCAACGTTCCTAGCGTCCCCCTCCATGTTTTTTTGGCAGCCGTGGAAGACAGTGTCAGGCTGGCAAGGAGGACTTTCTCCAGGGGACAGGAAGAGGCCCGGCCACACCAGTCCGAGGCGTGGCCTCCCTGGCCGCTGCCCTTCTGGCACAGAGAGCTGGAAGGAGCCCGGCATGCGCTGCGAGCCCCAAGTGTAAACGGGAGGCAGGCCGAGCTCTCGCTGGCCTTCTCCCTCCCGTCCTCCCTCTGGCTGCACTCAGCTTGCGAAGCACCTTGCTTGCCTGCTTTTCTATAGTTGGCTTCTCTTTTTTTGGTACCAGGGATTGAACTTGGGACCTCGTGCTTGGAGGCAGGTGCCAGAACCACTGAGCTACATCCCGGGCCCTGCCTGGTTTTCTTAAGATTCTTTGTTTTTTGCTATAATTGAAAAAAACCCCAATAGATAAAACAAGTGCTAGTGAGCTTTTAGTGACCCCAACTGTTAAAGTATAGCTGTACGCATTGTTTAATGTGATTTATACAATAGATCAGTAAGTGACTGGATTTGTTATCCTACACTCAATACAAATCAATAGAATTCAGAACAATTCCAAAATTAAAACTTTATAGTTATTTCTTTAGTTTTAAAGAATTCACAAAGCATCATTTGTTAGGTCTTCAAATTTAATTTTTCTGTAATCACCAAATTATTTTAAATTTATTTTAAATTGATAAATAAAAAATAAAAATTATACATATCCATGGGGTACCATGTAATGTTTCAATATATGTATAAATTATTATTATTATTATTATTATTATTATTATTACTTGTCTTTTTGAGACTGGGTCTCGCTATGTAGTTCAGGCTAGCCTTGAACTCACTATGTAATCTAAGCTGGCTTTGAATTAATAGTGATCTTCTTGCCTCAGCCTCCTGAGTGCCGGGATCACAGGTGTGTGCCACCATGCCTGCACAATGTTTAAATCAGATTAAACGTATTTATTTCTTCAAACATCTATCATTGCCTTATGGTGAAAGCTTTCTAATCCTGTCTTGGAGCCTTCTGAGAGCTACAGTGCACTGATGTGATGTACAGCCACCCCGCGGTGCAGCAGCCCCGAGGAACCTACTCCTGCCGGGTCTCTGTGACTCTGCACCCACCAGCGGGGCTCCTGGCCCCTCCACCATCATCAGTGTCTGGTACCCACCACTCCATCTCAGCTTCTGTGAGATAGATTCCACATGAGTGGATGCCTTTCTGTGCCTGGTTTATTTCACTTAACATAGCGATGCCCGGATTGATCCACATTGCTGGAAATGACAAGACTTCATTCTTTTTTATGGCTGAATAGTACTCCATGGTGCATGTTTCTTTGTCCGTGAACAGCTGCTGGACAGTCACACTGTTTCCAGTTCTTGGCTGCCATGAACAAGGTTGCAGCAAACACGGATGACAGAAGTCTCTGACCTTCTTACTGCACTCCCTTTAGTTATACACCTTGCAGTGGGATTGCTGGATCATAATTCTATCTAACTTTGGAGGACCCTCCAGGCTGGCTTCTATGGCGGCTGTACCTGTGTGCAAGGGCTCTCTTTCCTTCATCCTCGCCAGCACTTGCCTTCGCCTTCCTCATAATGGCCACTCTGCCTGGGCCAAGGGACCGCTCACTGTGGTTCTGAGTGCGTTTTCCTGGTGATTAGTGAGGTGAGCTTTCTATCAGTCTTTTTTTTTTTTTTTTTTTTGCGGTCCTGGGGATTGAACTCAGGACCTTGCACCTTGTCAGGCAGGTGCAGCACCACTGAGCTAAAGCCCCAGCTAAGGCGAGCTTTCTAAAAGGTACCTTGTGGCCAGATGTACATCTTCTGAGAAATGTCTATTTGGATCTATCGCTCACTTTCTAATGGGTTTCGAGTACGCTGAATCATATTATATTTTGTCCATAAAGAAGTGACTATGTCTTCCCGACCTCCTTCCCAAAAGGATGTCAGGGAGCTTATAACACAAGGCAGTAAAGTCTTTCATGAGGGTGGAAAGTGAAGAGGGGTGGCAGGGGTGGAGACGCAGAGGGGAGATTCCACACAGAATTCAGACTAAAGGAAGCTCTCGCTTCTGGAAGTCAAGACAGGAAGAGGGGACCCCGGGCCCACGGGTGTTGGGTCCCTGCAGCCTCTTGACTGCCCCGCCTTGAGGTTGCTGAGGTGCCGGGCGATGGCCTCAGCCACTGGGGTCAAAGGCACCAGGAACAGCTTCTCAGCTCCCCTTGGAGGGCAGAGGGAAACGGGCTTGGAGCGCAAGGGCCAGTGGAGGAGGACGCCTGGGTGGGGCGTGCTGCGCGTGCCGGTCAGAGGCGCCAGGGTGTGGTGGTCGCCAGGACAGTGGCGGTGGCCTGGAGCCCAATGGGGACCTGACTGGGAAGGGAAGGGCCCGGGTGATGCCGGCCAGCCATCTGCACAGTGAGCAGGTGGCCGACGTCTCCTCCCTGGGCCGGGGATCTGGGGCAGAGTCTGCTCTCCGGACCCAGAGGACGGGGAGGCAGGGAAGGAGCTGTGGTCAGCGCCACGAGCAGCTGAGTCCTCAGGAGTGGGGGACTTGGGGGGCAGGGCCAGGGCTGAGTCACTCAGGAGGCAGGCGGGGCCGGGAGGAAGGCAGGGTGGAGGTCAGAGAGGCGTGGGGAGCTGGGCCCAGACTCCAGCGGGAGACGCAGGGCAGAGCTGTGGCCTTGGGAGGGTGGAGAAAGGCACAGCGGTGATTTAAAGGGGGAACCAAGCCCGGTGGGGCGGAGCTCGCCTGTGATCCTAGTACTTGGGAGGCTGAGGCAGGAGGATCGCCAGGAGTTTGAGACCATCCTAGACTATACAGTGTGTTCAAGGCCAGCCTGAACCACATAGTGAGACCCTGTCTCCAAAAAACAAAAGAAGGGGAAGCAGCGTATACTCTTGGTGATTTATAAATACGACCTCAAGATCATCAACTCAAAAGTGCAAAACCGAGACATTCTCTTGAAGCAGCATAAGGCGCAGGGAAACTCAGTCCTTAGTTACCCGTAATCAACCTATCACACTTAAAATGAGTCTGGACTCCTCAGGTGGGAGGGTCTCGTTTGAATTGCAAATTTCTCAGTCCTGTCTGTTCCTCAGACTCACACGCGTTCACGGGCGGTTGCCCAGGTTACTGCACCACCTGCAGTGTGTCACCTCCCACTGTAGACTCCAGTGCAGCGACAGCGACACCCACACCGAGGGGTGGGGGCTGGGAGAGCTCCAGGTCCCTTCCGCTAAACAAACAAATACACTTTGTGCACAGAAAAGAAAGAGGAAGAAGGAAAAGGTAGGAAGGAAACAGAAGGAGGACAGAAAGATACCAACAGGGAGGTGTTTCCAGCCACGATGGTCAGAAGGGCACGGGGGACGGGAAGCCAAGGCGGAGGGAATGGGTCCATGCCTCCCTTCTTTGTACTGCGGTTGAGCCCAGAGGGCACTGACTTACACTCCCAGCTCTTTTTTCTTTTTGTTTGGAGACCACTCTTGCTAAGTTGCCCAGGCGGGCCTGGAACTTGGGATCTTCCTGCTCCAGCCCCGGGGTCGCTGGGATTGCGGGCGTGTGCCACCATGCCTGCTCGTGCCTTTTAGGGATTGGGGCGGGGCTGGGGGGCTCTGCGGAGTGAGTTACTCAGGATGAGATGAAGGTGACCGGAAGGTGGCAGTGAGGACAGGTGAGTCTTTGCAGGGAGGACGCGGAGACGCTGCCGCCTCCTCCTCGTGGCTCTCCCCAGGGCAGGGAGGGGGGCCGAGACAGCTGGGCTGCCGCTTCCTGCTGAGGGGGCTGTGGTGGAGACCACGGCTGGGCCCCAGGGAGAGGGTGGGGGACCAGGACTGAACACTGGGCTGCAGCGGGCGCCGAGGGGGACAGCCCTCAGGCTGCACATGTCGGGAGGAAGAAAAGGCCGCCGTGGGCCCTGTGTGCTCTGGGGACAGTGGTGGCGTGGAGAGGGGAGGAAGACCTGGCCCTGAGTGGGGGCATGACCGAGACGGGCCTCCGGGTGGGCGGCCAACTTCCGGGCCTGGGCTTAGGAACGAGGGAAAGCTGGAACTCACCGGGGTCGCCTCTTCTTCCAGGCTTGCCACGCCTTCCAGGGGGGCCTAGATGGGAAGACAGAGAGGGACGGGTTGAGAACGAAGCCCTGTGCTTGGGTGCAGGGCAGGCCCCGGGCACGCATGCTGGACAGCAGCCCCACCCACAGCCGCAGGGCCTCCCCCGGCTCTCCCTGGCCTCCTACCCTGCTGCCGCAATCCCTCATTCCACAATCCCATTTTCCCTTGTTCCCTTATTCACTCAAAAGTGCTCCCCAGCCAGAAAGATCACCTGGGATGCCCTTGAGGCAGGAGAGCTTCAGACTTAGGAAAAAATAAGGCTGGGATGGGGTCACCAGGAAGTTTTCTCATAAAAGCTCTGGCAGATGTTAGGACTCCCTGAAGTGAAATGACAAAGCCAACCAACAGGCTGGTAGGGGCTCTACTGGCATTTTGGAGGCTTCAGTTCAGTGAGCGAGGCCGCAGGCCACCTCTGCCCTTCCGTCCTCAGGAGCCCTCAGCTCCGCCTGGGCCCCAGCCCTGCTGTGCTGCGGGCTCCGCGTGGCTCAGCGCGGCCCTCGCTGTACCCAGCAAAGCCACTCTGAATCTGCAGGCGTCCGCCCTGCCCAGCTGGAGCCCCCATCCTCGGCGGTCCCCGAGACCCCGTGACCCTGACGTGAATGAAAGAGGGGCTCTGGGGAACAGAATGCTGCCCGCCCTCTACCGCTCGGTCCTTGCCTCCGTTTCGCCTCCGGTCACTTCTTGAAGGGCCCCCTGGAAGCGGCCTGCTCCCTTCCGCCCTCCGCTCTGCTTCCCTCTCCGTCCTGGAGCCTAACTATCCTCGATCTCCCATTTCTCGGAGCAGAAGATTCGCAGAGGTGAACTTGTGTGTCGCTGCTGCAGTGCCATTTGTACGTGACATTTACCCCGCTGCCTACCTTGCCCACCTGAGTGTACTGGGCTCTGGGCAGCCTGGAGCCCGCAGAGGATGGCATGTGACTGTGCACGACATTGCTCTGTCCTGCCGTCAGCCTCCAAGCCCCTGCTCGAGGGTCAAAGGCTGCCCTTTCCTTCTCCTCGTGTGCGAGTGGGTGTCAGACCCACTGCCCACCTCTGACTTGGGGGTGGCACAGGGCAGAGAAGAGGAGCCAGCTCTGGGTCTGAGGTGCTTCATGGCTTCATAAGGGGGCATCTGGGTGGGGAGGAAGGTGGGCTTCTGAGGGACGATGGGAGAAGGGGCCCCTGGGCGCCATCTTGGACCCCAAAACTTTCACGGACCCATGGTGGGAGTTGAGCAGGGCTTTCTTGCCAGTATGTTGGGCTGAGGGCTGGAGGTCAGGATGGTTGAGCAAAACCCAAAACGCTAGAGGATGCTGCCCCTTGCAGCTGTGAGTTTGGAGGGTGAAACCCACGCCAGTGACGTAGCGCTTGATTTCCCCAACCTGGACACAGACCTTGAGTTCGGGGTTTGTGCTGGACTCACCGAGGGACTGTGGTGATTTGGTGAGGCCAGGGTTCTGCATCTCTGTAACCAACAGCTTCTCAGGCTTGTGTGGGACTTGGTTTCTGAAACCCCCTCTGGCCAAGACCTGTGCACCCACCACACGGCCAGCTGCCCCTTGGACTTCCCTACTTGGGGTCTCAACAACACCTCAGACCTGGGGTGGGCAGCTGTCTTCCCCAGCACCCCAAGTGGGGCTGCTCCTACCTGGGAACCTGGTGGCCCATCATGCAGAATGAACGCTCTGAAACCGTGAGCCAAAATGAATCTTTCCTTCTGTAAGTTGTTTATGTTGTGTATTTTGTCACAGCGATGGAAAGCAGACTAGCACAAATACATTAAAAAAATGCCATCTTCGCTATTTTTATTAGTACAATTGTGTGGTGTTAACTTTACTCACGTCGTTGTACAAACACCACCACCATCCATTTGCAGAACTTCGCCCATTATGCGGAACTGAAGCCTCATACCCATTAAGCAACAACTCTGATTCCTCTCCCCAGGACCCGGCAGTGAAAGACTCATACATCGAGGGCTGGGAACCCCATGTAGCAACGTTCAGAAGTGGGGCTCAGAGGTGACCCCACCCACCTCTAGGCCCCATTTCTTTTCTGTCTATATGCATTTGATGATGTGAGGGCCATGTATACAAGGAGCCATGCAGTATTTGTTCAGTGACTGACTTATTTCCAGGTTCATCCATGGTGCAGTATGTGTTGGGATTTCCTTACTCTTTAAGCTGTTATTCAGTTATTTAAAAAAATGGTAGTAAATATACATGACACAGAATTTACCACCTTAACCATTTTTTAGTGTACCGATCATGGCATTTAGTGTATTCATAACAAGTACAGGGCCGGGGATTTAGCTCAGTGGTTCCGCCGCCTGCTTTGCAAGCGGAAGGACCCGAGTTCGATCCCCGGTACCAAAAAAAAGAAAAAGAAAAGAAAATTTGTCACTTAATGTTCTGCTTTATACTGTCACTTTACCATTTCATGTGCTTCTTCTTGGGCCGGGGATTTAGCTCAGTGGTTCCGGCGCCTGCCTTGCAAGTGCAAGGTCCCAAGTTCGATCCCCAGTACCAAAAAAAAAAAGCACAAGTACATGTGTGACCACCACCACTGTCTAGTTATAGCAGTTCTTTGTTATCAAATGCAAACTTGGTTGTTAATGTGCTTATTAAGGAATAGCCCCTCCCCCACCCCCAGTCCCTGCAACACCTAATCTACATTCTATGAATTTGCCTGTTCTAGGTATCTAGGGTTTTATTCAGAAGTGGACTCCTACAGTGTTTGTCCTTTCTATCTGGCTTATTTCTCTCAGATTCACCCATGTTATAGCATGTATCACCTCACCTGTCCTGTTTATGGCTGGATAATATTCCACTGTGTGCACATACCACAACATGTTTACCCATTTATTTGGCAATAGACACTTGTCTGTCTCCACTGTTTTTGCTAATGCTGCAGTGAGTATTAGTACACCGCTATCTGTTTAAATCTCTGTTTTTGCTTCTTTTGAAAATATGTCAAGGGACAGGATTGCTGGGTCATATGGTAATTCTATATTTAGCAGGAATTGTTTTTCATTTCCAGCAGAAGAGGCTTACCCTTTGCCTGGAATCCCATTTTATTCCTGTTACCCCTTGGGAGAAGCTGGCCCTCCTTCCTTTCTTCTCAAAGATCCCTGGTTCCTTTATCCTCTGTGGAAAACGTCTAGGCAGAGACCCGACTGTCACCCAGCCTGCTTTGGCAAGGGAAGAGGCCTCGCGAGTGTCCTGGAAATGCTGCTTGCAGTGATGGGGGCCGCAGCAGGCCATTGCCTGTGTTGAAGCTTCTGCTTCCTCATGTGCCAAGTGGAGATACTAACCCCATTTGTCAAGGTGGACTGGGGACAAGTTGAGATGACAGGGGAGATAATAAGGGACATTTAATGTCCCTGACCTTCAGCTGTCCCTGGCTCAAAATGGGAATTAGGATAGCCGGCCCAGGGCCTGTCACTCATGCAGTTGTTTAGAAATAAGTACATGCAGGTGCTCGGAGCCTGTGCTAGGCGGGCCCTGTCCCTGGGGCCCGTGGCTCAGCAGTACTCACCCACAGAGCCACTGTCAGTGACGCAGTGGGAGGAGGCGGCCTTGGGCCAGGCCAATGGCTCAGGGGGTCAGGGTCCATGCCACACTTGTCCGCAAGCCTTTCCCATCCCAGGCTCTTCTGGAGGGGCTGGGTAGGGCTGGTAGCATGATGGCTGGACGGCGCAGGGTTAGCACCAGTGGGCAGGGGCCTGGGTCCAGTCAGTCCAGCTGCGAGGGGTCATCAGGATCCCCCAGGCCCAATGGGTTCCCAGCAGGCCCCGTGCTCTGGAGGGCGGGATGCTCCTAGCCTGTCTCAGGCCTCGAAAGCCTGGGATGCCTGGGGAATGCTTGGTCCTGAGTCCTTGCCTGTCTTGGCCATGCTCCCAGCTCTGACGTCCTCCCCCTCTGCCCCTGCTCAGAGTGGCCCTGGGCTGCTGGGGCTGCCTCCCTTCGGCACCGATGCTGCAGTCGGGTTGGGGAGACCTGGGTGACCCAGACAGCAGCATCCTTTTATTTGCTCCCTTGGCCCCGCACTCCTCTAGGTGGGGCTGGGTCTGCAGGGCACCACCCAGGAAGCTGGAAGCTTCTTCCTGCAGGCCGCAGGCCCTGCACACAGCACAGGCCCGTACTATGCAGCAGAGCGAGGTCACTATTCTCAGGGTGCTCTGGGAAAACTTCCACGGGGAGCAGGGCCTGGCACGTGCAGGGAGCAGAGGGGCTGCTGAGACTTGCCCCGTGCCCCCTGGGGGTCACTGGAGTGTCGGCACCCCTGCTCTGCTCAGTACCCCGCTCTGCAGATGAAGCAGAAGAGGCTCATGGGGGGCTTGCAGCCCAGCGACGCAGCTGGTGGGTGGTGGTACAGCTCCAAAGCACTTGCTGTTTCTTTTCTTCTTTTTAAAAGGTAACCTAGTGAGCACTGCCAAGCCCTCTCCATGGACTCGGACCCCACCGCCGGCCGGAGACCCTCGACATCCCCTACACAACCCTGTCCTGTGACCTCTGGCGGGGTGGGCCAAGGCTGTGGGGCAGGAGGGCTGGGCCTCCTCTGGAACAGGCTCTCAGGTGCTCAGCTCCACTGCACCCCCCTGTTTCAGGCTCTATGGGGCTGGAAAATCTGAATTTTAAACAACTTCCTAGGAGCTGCTGTCTCTGCTGGTCTGAGAAACACGTCGCAAGCCAACTGCTTTCTTCTCCCTCTCTGTAACTACACACTCCTTTCACAAAATATCTGGAGCCTCATGGCCTTTTCCCTGTGCCATGCTGCCCTTGTGTGCCCGGGGGCTGGAGCCAAGCTGTGCCCTTGCAGAACTGGCATCCTAGGCTCATAAACCTTGGCAGTGACTCTCCAGGGAGTGTGCAGCGTGCGCGCGGCTTTGCTCTGTGCCTGGCAGCGCTGTTACATAAACCACGCAGCATGCCCACAGCCACCTGCCTGGCAGGAGCCACCTCTGTCTCACTGCAGAGGAGGGGCGGGGCCCCGTGAGGGCCACTGACCTG